GCGTGCAGTATTTATAGCACGTGGCTGCCGCGGACCGTATGCGCACTGCAATTAACAGTTCTCGCAACCACCGCTGGGGTCGTACTCGATATCGGTCCGAGTCCGCGCCATTATATGCCGTGATTTCGTCATCCGTGCTGGATGCTGGTGTGACGATTGCTCATCTAACTTGCTCATTGTCACTGTGAGAATTGCTCGCCCGCGCTCTCCCCACGTGACTGATTCTCCTGCCCAGGAAAAACCTCAGAACGGAATATGGTACCGGGAGGTCATTGTGCTTGTTGATGGATTGCGGGCCTGAGAATCATGACTCAAGCAGCTCGCGGCTCACACGGTTGTCACCCCTTGCGAGGATTTCGGCCTCTTAAAATTTGAAAATATGGCCGGGTCCCGTCGGGTGTGCCGCCACCTGAGAGCTAGCGTCTCCCCGCCTCACTGTTGCTGCGTGCTCGGCTATTCGCTTACGGAATAATCTCCCAGTTTCTCCGACATTGTTGCTTTGTTCGCAACTACACCAGATCCGGTAAACGACTCCAGACGTTTTCTGCCGTGGCAGCGGGTCTTTTTGCCTCATGACTTGGCGCCTAATGGTTGCTTCCGGCCTGTGTGCAACCCAACTCCAAGTGAAGTGAGCAGACAACTAATGGCTTCCGAGACGTTCTTCACGTACGGAATAGCCCGCCAAAATTTGGGGCCGGTTAGATCTGGTCTCTGGTGTCCTTTTCGTATGCAGTGGTTGACAAATTTGCGCGGGTGACCAGTGGCTCTCATTACCCGTCGAAGATATTGTAATTAAACAACCTTGTCTTCCATTTCATTGCAGTGCGTCTCAACGCGCCGGTATAGATGCCCAATTTTTCCGTCACGGGAAAAAATGAAACAGTGATGATACTTTGCAAGCCACTGCAGAGTTACTATTAACATGCTTATTTAGCCCCGATTTCTCAGTCTAACCATCCGCCATCTTTCGAGTATGGAGACAGGAACGAATTTGGACGGGAGTGAAAAACATTGATGATTACCCTTTTCGGACCGGTTATATCACATACGCCATACTTGAGTAAGGAAAATGAGTTATAAAGGCTTAAAAGTAGTGAACGTTCGGCGAGAGGTCGGCCGGGATCATGTGAACACGCGCCGTTATGCAATAAAAGTGTAGCATAAGACGAGCAAAGCATATAAGTTGATAAAAAAAATCAGTGATAAGGTGGATGTTAGAAATCCATAGCGATATGTACTCGGTAGGCAACTAACTGTTAGTTAGTGCATAATCTTGTCCTAAATCGGGGTCATTGGGGGATTCTAGGGGGTTATTATGATGTCTGCTGACCCTATACGTCAAAATACTTTGTTCGATACGCCTTGCTTCCCCGCAGGAACCGAAAATGGCAGTAGTTTCGAGTGAACCGATGAGCAGTTTTCATTTTCAATGGGTTTTCAGCATATCCTTTTCCCTCTTACAATTTTATAGATTATCCTGAAAAAACGCCGAAGTAAGAGTAAAGAATGAACTCTACCCTGAAGATGAAAACGGTGGGAATTGTGGTAAAGCCTGTTTCAGCGAAATGTGGGAACGTCGGCGTTAATTTTAATCGCCTGCCTGTGGGAACCAGACAAAATAATTAGTTAGCTTAAGGTCTCGCAGAACCGACTGCGCCTTAACTGCGCCTTGCAGGCGGCCGAAAAGATGTTCGTTCGAAAGCTTACATTTTGCGATGAATGAAGTATTTTAGGATTATGCTGCTTAATGATTAATTCTGCAAACCTAAGTAAGTAATCTTTTTTGAGTTCAAGGCGCATTTCACCAGTTCGGTCATTACTTTAAGAGTTAGCCCACTTACTCTAACTAAAACTATCCTCATATAAATATTTAAATGGATATTTTGAGTAAATTTGCAATGTGCAACACAAGCTACCCATTCTCGCTCGCTGCCTTCATCCCCTTCTGGGATAGGGGACGCCATTTTCTGCGCAAATTCCCGATAGCGCACGATCAAGCAACGGTTATAAATCAAACATTCAAGTGGTAGACACCGCCAGTGCACTTGAATTTTAACAACCACACATCCAACCCCCGATCTTCGCTGCGTCTGATATGAATCAACATTCAGGCCTAAGGGCATTACTGGCTTACAGGCGGCACAGTCATTCCCCTGTCGCACATTTAATCGCCCGAGTTAGTATTCAAACGCTTTTTAATCCCGCCCGGCTGTGATTCGTTCTATTGAAGTCGCGTTTGTTATTCGGGTGATGTTTTATTCGTGCATACCCAGCGATTGCCGGCGACTATGAGGCGTAGGCTTAGTGCTGTTTTCTTGCATCAGCAGAAAAACCCACAGGCTTTAGGAAGAAACGACAAAAGAGACATGCAAAAGTGAATTTCAATGGAAGTTTCTCTCATGTCCACTTCAGGTTTAAGTCATGAATACTGGGGATGATCAGTTGGAATCCAGTCACCCAATGGGCTGAAAGTGCTGCTGTCTGGGCGTTTGCCTCACGCTCTATCGGATGGCATCGAAGTCATCAAAAATCTCCAATATTTGATGTTGTCTGGTGGTCTTCCTCGCAAGTCCGGATTCCGTGGTAATTTGTCGATGATAACTTCAAAAATATCTGTCCATTGCCTATCGTTCGTGGATTTCTCATAGATTTCAATCACCTGAATATGCGTTCAGTTGTGTAATCAGTCCAGACGGATGACGGGTACGTCTTCGGTCTTTGAAAACTTCTGCTTTATTTTATACCCCATGAGTCGTGGAAAAAACTGATCCCTCAAGCATTGCTCATGCAGCAAACGGAGGGACAAACCCGTTAACACATCCCTTGCTACAGATCTGCAATGGTAGGAGGGTCTAGCGACAAATATCCGAGTCTAGTAAGCCATCCCAAACATAGGACTAATTTTCGGAGCCAATGAAAGTCTGTTTTCGAGGACGATAACAGCAACAGGGACTAGTAACAACTGTAGGGAGCTTTAGCAGACGTGATAGTTCGACCGTCATTGTCGACGATGTCAGTCGTGTGCTCCATGGCAAGGCGGGACAGACATGGTGACTTGCGCGTCGTTTAGTTTATAGTGTGTGTAGACTTGCGCAGCATCTATCGCAATCTCTCCTCTCCTCACCCATTTGGACCCAGTGTCAAGACACAGTGTAGCGGCCGAGGACGTAAAGGGTAGCACACACCAGAGTAAGAGAACGCTGAGAGTAGATCCTGGAGGAGAGTAATCTGAACAGAGTCGTTAGCATCCCTGAATACTCATTCACACGCAGCAGAAGAGGGCACGTCAGGAACGGAATATAGTAAAGCATAACAAGACAGTCATGAGAGATACGTATAATAATAATAGTTATTCGTACAGTTGGAATGAGTTACAGCCATCAGATAACCTGTCTGGGTGAAGAGACGATACCGACATGCCAGCTAAATAACCGGTGGGGAGCGCAGCGCTGTGGGCAACTGCAGGGGAGGGCCGAGGGAGGTGCCGATGTTGTGATACGGAGAGCGAGGCGAGCGTTACGGTACGGTACAGTAGGGGGAAGGGATCGGCGGATGGGAGAGGAAGGGGCACCGGCCATCTTCACTGACACGCGGTTACGCCATCTCCACCCTAGGTCCTTGCGCGTAAAAGTGTCACCTCATTCAAACAACTCTGTCCAAGTCCAGGGGCGTTACAACAGTCAAGAAGATCGAGCGTGGGCGTACGGCAGGCGTACGGCTAGTGTCCCAGACATGGAAATGACACGGTAAACAGGTGCATTTGCCGATTGGCTGATAAAGGGTCCCTGAAATCTCACTTGTTCAATGGCCAAAATTCAGCGAATGAGTGGGTTCGGGGTGACAGCTGAGAAGAAGGGAATAGGCACACTGGAGCAAGAATGTTTCAGCATTACGTTTCGGGTGCTCACTCGTGAATGTCAAAAAAGACTACGGTTCGACATGGCGTTCAGTGACTATCGCATGTAGTCATCATGTATGCAGTGGGACTTAAATACTTACAATGACTGACCGATCCAATGAATTTTTGATTCTGAAATGCGATTTCCATAAGGAAATATTACTTAGATGTGGTTGTAATACTAGTTATAATGCGACATAGTCTTTTAATATTCCGGACTCGCCAAAGTGCCAGCGCTTGAATGTACTTCATTTGGACCATCCGTCATTTCTGGTTTATTGGCCGTCGTCAGCTAACCATACGCAACCCATAGGTGTCCAACGCCTAGGACTTGATCCCACACCTCGATCCGACGCCTCTAACCACTGAGCCATGTGCTCGTTGCCGTCGCTTGTGATAGTCGAACTGTCGTCGTGATAGAATCGAAATTAAGACCTGTAATTTTGTTTTCGATTTCTTTTTCACCATCGTTAAAAGGGGCAAACACATCTATCATACGCGACAGTTTCCACCGCCCAACTATTTATTGTTACTGCACTGATTCATTTATAAAGAAGTATAACTTTAGTGACCAGATTTCTTTTTATATTGACAATGCTGACACTTAATGTGTGATTTAGACCTACAATTGTGCTGACTGTTCAAAAGGAAAGAACTGTCTACGAAACATTGTGCACCAAGTCGGCAAATTTGCACTTGCCTGCGTACACAAAGAGCGGTTATTTGCAGGCAAATAAGGACACATCTTCCAAGCTACTTTATGTGCATACCGGATACAGAACACGTATTTGCCGGAGAGAGAAATGACATAGTTGGTATAAACATGCTTTAAGATGTCACATTTGCCATTCTAAATTAGGCTTGTGGAGGAGAACGCATAAGTCGGCCCCAGTGTCTTCTGTTGGATAAGCCTGAAGAATAGATGTTAAAGTTTTTTTCCCAAGACAGCATTCTAACTGGTAAACAGCGGACACATGAAGTCTTCTCTACTCACACCGTGGACAATCGCAGTGTGATTAATCATTTCGAAAACTGCACAGAACAGCACTACTAGAGCAAACAGTCCTGCAGTGGACTGACTGCAAATGAAATAAACATCACAATGCTTCGCCATAGCAACAGACAGTCCGACCGCGGTAGACAGCGACTACTTCCACCCCCACCCTCAACAGAGGAAGTTGTTTACAGTGAAGGAGAATTGATTGCACTGCAAATAGCTTCGTCCCCTCGTTCAATACCCGTTGTAAATCAACGGAAAGGAGGAGTTAAAACAACAGGATGTGGGCTCGAGCGGTGGGAATGATAAAGCTCGTCTTTTTCTGAACCACGCCACCTGATCCCAAAAGCCATATACGCTCGTGCCTCTTTTAAGTAGCCCTTATTAAAAGGAACTGACCACTGCACTGACCAGGATAGCTCCGTAAGTCTACAGCCTTTCAAACCAGTTTTGTAGGCGCCTTGTTAAGCTTTTGGAACGCGTCCGGTTGCTGATAATGATCAATCTAGAAGTTGGGGGATCGTTTATTTTTTAAAGCCGCAGTTGCCTGTCCTGGTCTCAACGTCTGGTATTTTTTGCAACCAAGTAAACCGCCAGGACTACGCGGACGCTCGGGTCAAGGTGGGGCAGCAGCCTCTTCCGAACCAAAATGTGGTTACTGAGGGTGAATGGCGTCCAGTACAACCAGTACGCACTGCTATGACGCAATTCTATGATCCGTTCAAGATTCACAGATTAAATGCACTAATGAGGCCACTAGTTGCCTCAAGAGACAGCCCCATTTATAATTTGACACGGTGGATGTAATCAAAACGTCTCCCTCAGTCCGATCAGTTTGTCGATGGCTTATTGACCTTCGAGGTCGGAGAAATCAGTCGGGTGACATAATTGTCTCTTTGGTGTGAACTCGGTATTCCTATCCGTCCCACCGAATTCGCCTACGAAGACTTGGGACGAGACCCGGGACTACATCAGCATTAAGCATTTCATGATGCTGTTTGAATTTTACCGAATAAACCCATGCGGAAGACAGGAGGACTTCAATTGCCTTCCAGATCTTTGGGTTAGCGACAGAAGTAGTCCTACGGAAGCTAGAAAAGACTGCCTTCACCCAGTTGCAGCTGGTCTTTTGGCATAGATACGTTAGCGATGCATTTTTTTTCTCAATAAAAACGAACAGGTGAGCTCCAGGAAGCAGCTCAGAAGAAGATACGATCGCTGAAACAAGAAGTTTATTGGTCTGACGTTTCGTATTCCCACTCAAGCCCATTACCACAGACATTCGCTGATAAGGATAGGGGGTGACACAAGGTGTGCAGTATTTGTAGTACGTAGCCACCGTACGGACTGTTCTTAGCAGCTCTCGTAATAAACCGGTTGATGGTCGAAATTGGTAAGATAACGGCTTATCAGTCCGAGTTGCATATGGACGCGATTTCATTATTCCTGTTACATGCTGGCGTAATGGTGACTCGGCAGTTTGGCATACTCGCACCCTCCCCACGTGTCTGATGCTCCTGTTCAGGGAACGTCTCAGCACAGAACGAGAGGCTAATGCGCTTTTCAGTGAATTACTGGCCTGAAGAACAATGACTCAAGCAGCTCGTGGCTAAAGCGGTTGTCACTTCTTACGAGGATTTCGGCCTTCTGAAAATCAAAAATGTGGCCGGATCACGTCGAATGAGCTGCTGCCTGAGAACTAGCGTCTCCCCGTCTCACTGCAGCTGCATGCTCAGCTATTCGTGTCCAGAGTAATCTCTCAGTTTCACCGACGTAGTTGTTTTGTCCGCAATTGCAGCAGACCCGGTAAATGACCCCTGACGTTTCCTGCCGCGACAGTGGGTCCTCTAGTTTTATGACCTGGCGCCTGACTGGAGTAGAGGAGGGCTCTGCTGGATGGCGCGGACGAACCCGCACATCGGTGCCCCACTTCACACACTTTGGTCCACAAGGAACATCTGACCAGAATGTTGACCAACAACAACAAGAACAATATAAAGTACGTGCAGCCATGCACACGACCAGTATACCTAGGGGGAGTGTAAACGCATTTACTCGCAGGGAACCGGGTACCACAGAATTGCCAACGCATACCAGACTGGGAGGGCCAGAATGTGCTGATAATGATAAAGCAAAGGCCCACAAACTCAGCAGAGGGATGTTTTCTCAACGTCAGCCCCCGTCCTGTTGTGGAGGGTACCACGGTGATCACAAACCATGCGTCACAGTCTGCCAAGGACTAGACCGGCTTTAGAGGTATGACTTGTAACTTTGTCCTTCATCTTTAGGTTTCATCAGACAGTACTTGCCAAGTGGGTCAAATTGTCCACAGATATGAACCATAAACGGCATCTTCTGTTTGCTAAAAAGCAGTCCAGCGTACAGAAGGTGAGCTAACTCATGAAATGTCAATCAAAATTCCGAAATGCGTTTTCGTTTCGAAAAGATTAATTAGGTAGGGTTGTAAAACCAGTCAGCTTGAAACATAATTCTATAATATGTCAGTTACCTCAGTATGCCGGCTTTAGAATGAACTTCCTACCGGCTGCAAGCAGAAACAACACTGTAAAAACGACTACTTGAGTAGCATGAATTTTTCCCATTGATTTCCGATGGCCCTAAAAGTCCAATTATATTTTATGGATAGCATTAATACAAATATTCATTTCTTTGCTTATTCGGTAGCAAATTACCTCTTCTTCCAATTTTTACTCCAAGGAGGGACATAATTCGGTTTTAAGGACGTTCCTAATTGTGGGACTCTTAAATACCGTGAAATGGCCGTTCATAAATCGTTCGTTTGAAAGACCGCATCCTGAGGTAACTGAAATATGATAGAATTATGTTGCAGGCTGCCTAGTTTTACAACCCAACTGAATAAATCTTTTCGAAACGATGAAGCATTTCGGAATTTTGGTTGCCATGTCATGAGATAGCCCACGTACTGTATTTTGCAGTCTTTTTGCACGAAAGACCAGTGATTCTGCAGCGTTTTGTCCATCGGCCAGTACGTGGAGTTAATTGTGGTGCTCTTTGTTTACGTCTACACTCCCGACACACATGTTGACTCACTCTGCGAACTGTACTGATTTGGTCTGTGCACGGTCAACAAAAAGGTGACTCATTGGCTGGCGGAGGGCTTACTGTCGTCAGCTGTTTTAATTCTCACGTGGTTTACTTCCGTGGCCCTGGCGAAAAAGACCGGGTCGGCATCGGCAGTGTTGAAGTAGACTCCCTCCGGCTTATAACACATGGATTAGCAGGGTGAGTAAACCTCTGTTGTCCTCCTCCCCCGCCCCCCCCCCCAGGTTTCTGAAGCGTATCTCCCCTCAGAAACGAAAGATTTGCAATATCTGAATAAACCCAAACATACAGTAGATGCGCTAAATTTGCCGTGTTAACCGAAGTCTGAAGTGTGTTCTTGAATCGAAAAGATTACTTAAGTAGGATTATAAGATTTATCGCCGTGCAACACAACCCGAAGACGATATAATTTTTTCAAGATGTCAGCTTATGAATGCACTCCTTTCCGGCAGCCTACAAAAACTAAACTCTGCAAACAGAAAACTACATAAGTCGCATGAATTTGTCTAACTGACTTCCGATACTCCTGTAAATTCAAATATACTTCGTAGAAAACGTACACCAAAATATTCAATCTTTTACTCATTCGGCACACAATCAAGTCTTTTTCACATTTTATGCTTGTAAGGAATTTATAGTGCGGTTCTAAAAAAACCATTCCGATTCCGAATAATTTTCGACGAGACCTGTTGTTTCACTTGCATTTAGGGTTTACAAATTACAAGCTGCATATTTTCCGCGTGCAAAAAATCATACATTTATATATATATTACTGAGAGGAAGCCATATGAGATTCATAAAATTTAGCAGTTGATTTGAGACATATTGTTAACTTTACTGGTAGTACTGGTAAACGCAGAGACACGCTGTCTCATGAGCGGGCATTTACTGGTCTTAAAAATCTCATAATCAGAAATTTTTCAAAACCGTGTTGTGCCGTTCCTTCAAGTACAAAATTTGAAGAAGACGTAGTTTCCCACCAGACAGTAAAATAATGAATATTTTAGGCGCGTTTTCCATTGAATATATTCGAATTTATGACGGCATCGAAAGTCAATGCGAAAAATCTATGCCACTTAAGTAGTCATTTTTTACACTCTTGTTTTTTGCAAGAGGCCGAAAAAGAGTTCGTTCTAAAGCTTATCTCTTGTGGTAACTAAATCATTTTGGGATTATGCTGCATGATTATTAATCCTGCAACTCTACCTAAGTCATTTCATCGATTCGAAAACGCGTTTTAGAATTCCGCTCAACGTTCCATGAGTAAGCCCATCTACTGTACGCGTTCCCTAAAAATTGCTTATGCGCCACTTCCCTGTTAGTCGTTAGAAAATTTCACTGTCTGCCTTCTTAGACGAATACTTGGGTCATCCACAATGACTGCTTTTAAAAACCGGCTGCTGACGTAACTTTTCATGACTGGTATCACTTCTTGTGTGAGGCTGTAAAATATGACGAAATCGTGCAATCTCTAGAGTAACTGTTTGTTTCTCTATGACCGACCTCAGCAAGGGTTGACCTAGTGACAGAAAGGCAACCCGCTGGTACAGTCTGGCAATTTGTGCAATGGGCGTCCATCAAAGATTCACGGGTCATTCAGTTGCGTCATTTATAAGTTTCTGGACTCGACATAAATATGGTCATGGAACTTGGGTTAAGGTCAGGTTTACGACTAAGATTTTAATTGTGATTAAGGGTAAGCGTATGGCTAGAACAAGTTTTAATGCAAGAGTTTAAGTAATGGTTAGGTTTAAACCATAACTCACCCTTTACGCTCCCTCTCAGTTCTTCATTAAGCATATAAAAACTGCCAGCTTTGGCAAAGCGATTATCTCCAATACGAGTGATCATTGTTTAGAACACTTTCGAAGCTTGCTGGCACATACGTTATCCACACAGGAAAACCAGGAAGTTGTAACGATTGACAAAATGCAAATGACGTTCTCTTTATGTTGAACATTACTGTGACGGAGGTTAATATGACCTAAGGGACCTGTACGGGAAACTAATTTATGTTGCGTGAGGAAAAGCAATACACCAATGCTGGCCATAAAAAACCTACAGTCAGTACATTATTACGGCCCTCGCCCAGTCATGGAAGTCAATCAACATAAAAAGCACCGTACTCATTATTTTCGCCCTCAGACAACTATCTGTAACTGCCGTCTACGAAGCATGCGCCCAGCCTCAAAATGCATAGGGAGTCACTTGTTCCTTTGAAACTGCCTGCAAGCGTTGGGCCTTAAAAAAACAAATAAATCGATTTATTGTTCTGTAGCACATACAAGGATTGGCGGGCGTCCATAACCCTAACCCCAAAATCTGGAATTTAGCACAAGGCCAACTGGGGGGGAGGGGTTCTGTATTCCCGCATTCTACAACTAGGTCCTCCTTGACCTCTCATTTGCGAAAGCTCTAAACGTACACCAACGTATTTTGACATCCTTAGTATTAAAGTTATCGGAATTTGAGCCCAGACCCTTTTGAGGAGGTGCAACTTCCGTCACCCAGTGACCCAACTGCAGTATTTGTAGCTGCCATTGGGCCACATGCGTGCTATAATTAACAGCTCTTGCGATCACCGACGCAGTTCATCCAGGAGATTAGTCCACCAATAGGCGCAATGACCTCCCGCCACTATATTCGGTGTTGAGCCATTGCCTGAGCGGGCTAGCCAGTCACGTGGGGACGCAAGCGGACAACAATCCCGGGAATAGCGGGCAAGACTACCGCGTAATCGTCATGCCAAAGTCCAACACAGATGCTAAAAATTGGGGCAATTAACGACCAGGACGCAGACTGACGAGCTATCATTGCTTCTGATACGACCCCCAGCGGTGATTTCAACAGCTGTTAACTATAGTACCAATGTGACCCATGCCAGCTGCATACTATAAATACTGCAATCCCTGTGTCTTCGCTGCCTTTATCTGCTATCTTCCTCGATAATGGGTTTGAGTCGGAATCCGAAACTCAAGACCTATAAAACTTTTTGTTCCAGTGATTGAATCATCATCTTTTGAACTGCCGCCTGGCTTCAATCAGTAACCTATCTCACGAAGGGTGTCGAAATTCACGAATTATTGCTAATCACTCGCAAATAAGTAATAAATTTACTGGAATTGAAAGTTAAAAAAATACTAAAGGTAATGTTACATTGTTTAAAAATACCAGTTTTTTCAAGAGTGGAAAATCCTGAAAACGCCAAGAATGATTACAATTTAGTAGACTTCATTTTTAGGTATGCACAATGTCTGTCCTTGCAAAACACTGAATAAATATGAAAGCTCAATTAGAACACTACTTAAAAGGAGTGCTTTTAATGATGTTTACACAAAAATATCCTATGAGAATTAGTGCAATTTTAGGTATGGTGGTTTGCTAATAACCTTCCACTTGAGTATAGATTCCGAAATGGTTTCCCAAGGATTCGTGGTACTCTCTACGCTCCGGAATTGATTTAGATGCAGTTCAATAAGGCAAATAAAATTTTGGTTGATCTTTTTGATAGGGACGCCATATAAATAAGTATTTTCATGTCACATTTTGTCACATGCTCCGTTCCAGGATTATCAATCCACTGCGGAGTTGCCATATAAATACTGATATTTTGCCGAAAGTGCGAATGCTTTGCTCGTTCCATTACTTAATTACGTATTATGACAGTGGACGCTCACCGATCGGGTAGGTTAAGGAACACGCACGTTCCGTTGTGCCTTTGGGGCTTATCCTAGAGCCTTCGCAGGCAGTCGCACAGCGACAAGTAGAAGACATTGATCCCGGGTTCGAATCTCAATTGATCCACACTTGGGGTTGGGTATGATTGGCTGATGACGGCTAACAAGCCAGAAATGGCCATTCCGGTCTCCCTTGTCTTTGTCGGTACCATCTCATCAATGTCTACTACTAGTCGCTGTGCGACTGCCTGCGAGGGTTCTAGTATGAGCCCCAAAGGCACAACGGAACGAGCATGTTCCGTAACCTACCTGATCGGTGAGCGCCCACTGTCATAATTCATATTCCCGATCACAACCGACAGGACAACGGGCCCGTGGCTCAATGGTAGAGTGTCAAACTCCATGACCAAAGATCCCGGGTTCGAATCTCAAGTGATCCACACTTGGGGTTGGGTATGACTGGCCGATGACGGCAAATAAGCCAGAAATGGCCATTCCGGTCTCCCTTGTCTTTGTCGGCTCCATCTCATCAATGGATTACGTATGCGCAGAAGATAGACCACACAAAAGGCAATGTTCTATATGTTCGAAACTAAAACATACTATTCGGTGGTGGTAGTCATTTCCGTGACGAAATGGAATTTTTTTAAACCGCAAAACAATGTCAGCCCAGTTAAACGAATGATTCTTAGTGTGCGTTATTACTACATTTCAGGGCGCTAAATCACGCATATTTGCTAATGTGACTCCTATAAAAACGATAAAAGATCTAGTTTCCTTAAAATAACCTTTGATTTCGAAGCTTATGTCCGCAGTCAGCATCGAACAACAAATCGATTATCAAATGCGGCAAACTCTGTTGAGGAAAATGTTCAAAAGTAAATTGCTGTCCTTTTAAGGAAAAACACTCTCAGATGCGCAACCGAAGTCTGAGATATGTGTCAGTATAGAAAATTGCCCAAATATATCGCAAAATCTGTTTTCGCCTAAAGAAATGAACACTTTTGCTCCATAAAATTATGTGAATATATTTTTTGCACAAGAAAAGGGCAGTTCCTTAGAACGGCTACAAAAGCAAGCAAAATGTGCAAAGTTTTAGACCTCTGAAAATTCTCATATCAGTTTCTGACATCGGGTTATGAGAAAACAAATTACGTACTGTATGTCCTGCATAAATTTACAAGCTAATACTTTAAATTGCTCAAATGTCGGAAAATATCGAACTACTTGGCACTAGCGGAATTGTCATTTCTTGGTAGAGGCGATCTCACGATTCGTGCTACGAAACGCACTCGTCCCGTTGTACGTAGAAGACTTGGGTGGCCACATCTAGCTTATTAGCCGTCGTCAGCTAGCCAAACTCAACCTCTAGCTGTCCAACCCCTGGGGCTCGATCACGTGACCTATTGGTTAGAAGTTCAACTCCTCTAACCGATGAGTCACGGGCTCGTTCCTCTATCGGTTACAATCGGATATCTACTGTTCGTGACCCAAGAGGTATAAGGAGACGAACTCCGCAGAAAAAACCTCATAGATCTTGGCCCGCATCCTCAAACGTTATAAAATGGTTAGTTAGCGATCTGCATTTTAAAAAAGACACTATTCGACTTTTCAAAATATTATCTATTAACAATGAATTAAGCTACCAAAACAAAAATCATTGACTCGGAAAAATAATTTTATGGGAGGTCAATTACTCAAGGTCTAGCATAATTTGCAATATAGAAGTAACATATAATGTAATCAAACAATGAAAATCAGTAAAAAAACGTCAGTAAGTTGTTGAATGTCCTTTGGTTTTTATCACATCAGTAGCTCGGAAGGGCATAGTTACAGTAAGGTCGTTGTTGGTGTTTTGGTCAATATAAAATTTAAAGCACAAAACCCAACCTTTGTTGCGTGGAATGTTGCTTTTAATAATTATCTCATCTTCTCACCAGGCAAAGCCAATTATAGTTTGGACTACGGTTTGGGCTGACTTTGACCTATCGTTGTAGTCTTATTCGGACTCACATTTCCTTTGGGCAGTGGGCAGAGGTATTATCATGCAGCACTGTGGTGCCCATTCGACGTTGGTGAATGCCGTTGTAGCCGAATGCATCCTTTACGACGCCAACTTACCCTAGGCTGTTAATGGCCTCCGTTGTTGACTGCCAAATCGGGCACCCTCCGAACCATCGGATGTCGGTATTTCTTTAATGTTCGCGTCGATCGTGTGTGTTCTCCTGGGAAGTGCTTTCCACCCATGAACACCTGAGTCGATTAAGTAAGCTTGATTTAAGACGAAACTTCATCACTGAAGTAAATTCCTTTTAGAATGATAGTCTGTTATTGATATATTCGTGAGCAAAGAAACAACATTCTTTAATTGGTTTTCTAATTAAATCTGGCTTTGTAATATCATTTTGCTTGTGGATTCCGGATTTTTTTACGTTGATTCTGATTGGCTCATAGAAAACATTGGCAGATGTTTCCTTGCGAATAGTCTTAAGAAGCACAAATTGATACTTTTTTAGTATTCCACGAACAAAATCGTCATCATGCTTACTCGTGGGCCGTTTCGGCTCATAGTGTTTAACGCTAGACACTGTCCTATTACTAATAATTTTCCACAGAATGGCCCGGCTAACATTGAAAATACTAACTACAGACTTGTGCAGCACCCCTTCGCTGACAGTTTTCGTATGCGCTTGAAATAAACTTCCGATGGCAAATGCTTTCATGTTGCACGGCGGGGCACAGGAAGGTGGTAGCATGAAACGCGCAACCTATGTGTACTTGTTTGTGTCCACTTATTTCCGGTGGGACAAAACAAATACTGCACCATAAGCTAATTACCACGTTTAACGACAGGAAACGTAACAATTTTGCTAAACTGAATGCGTCAAGAGCAAAATGCTGCTGGCTTCATGAAAAGAGTGCGTTTTTACATGTCTGCCTGTATCTGGACTTCATGAATTTAAAGTCACAATTTGCTTTCCGAAAACGAATTTCTTTGAAAATGTGCTGGGTTTTATAAATCTTCTTTTATAGCGTAACGCGCGCAAATAATAGATTTTAATCAATGACAGCTAATAGTCTGGGAAATTACGTGGATACCCGGAAGCCACCAATCTCGCCTAATCTTGGCCTGTTTCCCGCAATAAAACGGATCTAACATGAGTTCAACTCAAGAAATTGACCTTATGTGATTGCACACTAAACGACTGTTTATAGGAAAGCTACGAACACCACACAGCTTCTCAGTTTTCACACCAATCATCCGGTGGCTCAAAAACGAAGCTGTGTGAAGACGCTCTTCAAACGGATCCAAAGTCATTGCAGCAAACCGGAGGACAGAGCACGTGAGGCCCGTTATCTCCGCGAACAGTTTGTGCAAAATGGCTATGAGTGTATTCATAAGTCGCTGCCTACGCGGTCGCCACCAGAGATATCGAACATCAACGCCACCGACGATATGCCATCCTCTGTCATACATCAAGGGTGTTTCAGAAGCGACCGAGCGCATTGCTGCGGAACTAGGCGTTGGAATTGCACACCGCCCCAAAGCCACCATGCGCAGCAGGGTCATGAAAATCAAAGACCGGTTAAAACCTGAAGAGCAATCAAGAGTAGTGTATCGCATTCCGTGTCAAAATAGTCCTTGTAACTACACAGGACAGAGTGGACGCATGCTCTGATCGCGCATACACGAACATAAGCTGGTTGTACGGCGAGGCGACGCATTATCACAAGTGGCCGTCCACACCTACGAAATGGGTCACGAGTTTGACTTCCCAGCCACCAAAATAGTCGCCCACGCCGGAAACTAGACAGGCCGAGAATTGATTGAAGCCTGGGCTTCGGATGAGAACTCGGTCCATCAATTTATCGATTTGGCGCCGGCGTGCAGAGCCCTTCGTAGTCACCTCCAGTCGTACGACGTCGGTCGATGATTGGGCCTACGTGCCTTATAACTGTCGCTTATCCTGTTTCTGCCACTACCTCTGACGATGGACTCCTGTACGAGTCTGAAAGCTCAGGATAATAAACGAAGTGTTTCGGTGCTCGACTCTTCTTCTTCACTTACACTAAATGTATGTCGTTCCACCAACCCCAATATCGATCTCAATTCTTCATGAGTTAAGTTAGCTGCTGTAAAATAGTGGAGGAATCCTCACCGATCGCGCAAAGGGATTCACTCGTCCCGTCGTACCGAAGGGCTGTCTCTCGAGTCCTGTCATCAGTCGCATATCGACCAGTCATATAGACAGAATGGCATTACCCACAAAGAAAAGGGAAACTAGGATAGCCATTTTTGGCTTTTGAACCGTAGGCACAACGAGAAGACGGTGAGCGCATGCAATCGAGCGAAACTAACAGGGCAGAAAGACGTGGCTCAGTAGTTAGGGGTTTTGGACTTCTAACCCACGGGTCGCTAGATCGGTCACCAGGTGTTATACACCTCAAGGTCGGGTATGGCTTACTGACGACGGCTCATTGGCCAAAAATGGCTACTCCTGTCGTCCTTTTTGGGCCTTAATGGTATTCTGTCCTTTCTTACAAGGTTATTATCAAATAAAATCGAAAAGGCTCGCCACTGGAGGATAGTGTGCTCTAGCGTTCGCGGTGAATTGCTACAATGTTACGCGCTAGTTAATATTTTGGCAGTTTTGTGGTGAGGTACCGGACTATCTTACCTTTGAAAATTTAGTCCCGTTTTCATTGCCCGGATTGTCTGTTTGAATGTGGTGAAAAACAACACATCTGTACAACCCGCCTTGCTGGCCTGTTTTGCTGTCGCGCTCTGTTGCCAGGTTAGTCAACGTTCAGAATCTCTATTATATACACTATTCAGTCTTATCTGCTGCCTTAAATGCTAGGGGCTCGTGAGATATAACTCTTAAGTTCGTGAAAACATTGTCATTTACGTCATTGGTGACTCCCGACGTTAACGCAGACTTTATACCTTTCTATTTCATACTGAATAATATTTAACGTTCTATTTGTTTCTGAATTTCTATTCCATTTACCTCTACTTTTCTCATGGATTCTGATATTTTACCATTTCTGTCTTAAGTATTATGTCTCATTTCAACCAACAACTTGATGCCCCGCCAAGTCCCTTCATGCCATCAATTTTAACTTGCCTGAATTCTGGCAACACTTTCCACAACTCTACTCCATCCGCATCGAATCAGCCTTTTATTCTGCTAACGTTACCAAGGCGTTGGCAAAACACCATAATCTTGCGGAGGTTCCCCCAGCTAGTGTTATCTATCATTTTCAGTCCTTGCTATCTAGTCCTCCTGCAGATGCTCCCTATTCCACATTAAAGGCAGGAATTTATCGACCCATTTCAGGGTCTACTAAGTAAAAACTTTTCAACAGCTCTTCTGGACTTTTGACGTCTCCTGTATTTTGGCCACCTGTTAACCATCCGTCTCTGTTCATTCAGCGCCTCTACTGCCAGTCCAAAGGAGCTTGGTCGCGAAACAAATTCAGTATGACAGCGTACCTTTTCACCTCATCACATAGCTTCATTTGTATGTCAAATTTACACCTATGGGGCTGTTGGGCGGCAGTGCCATGGAAAGGTGGCTGATTTCTTCCAAAACATTTCTTCTTTAAATAAGCAGTCTGCAGAATTCTGGTTTTGTGTGATTACTTTGGATGAAGCGATAGTGCGAATCTGTCCGCTATGAACAGTCGGAGGGGGTGTCCTGAGTTACTGTCAACTCCTACATTTAAAGTCCACAAACCTCAAGGGACCACCGAATCTTTCCTTTTCATTTCAATTTGATGTCAATCTTTGAAAAATCGTCTGCGCTAAGTGGTCAGATAGGGTTATATTGTGATTTAATTTCTTCCACATTTGCCTGGCTTCTGGAAGTTTTTCATAAAACATTCGGAGGCCTGCGGAAATAAATTTTCACCAAAATGGCTTTCTTGGTTTTTGTCCCTTTTTTCCGCATAAATTTCTCATTATCGTTTCCCAGGTATTGAGAATAAAGGAAAATATATTACCCCCGGGTCACGATCAGTACCTTGGCCGACCACGTTAACGGCTAAAAGCATGGTACAGTTAGTTGGTTAAATTTTGAAATCGCTACAGAAATTTTGAATTGCGTTTTCGTTTCAAAGAAGATTATTTTATTAGGGCTGTAAGACCAATCATCTTGCAACATAATTCTATAATGATCCAGTTACCGCAGGGTGCTTCCTTTCGAACGAACGCATTTCCTGCTGCATGCAAGATCCATACTCTCCAAAAAGTGACTGCTTAAGTAGCATGCATTGTTCAGCGTTTTTTGATGTCCATAAAGATTCAATTATATTTCCTGGAAAATATGCACAAAAATATTCATTTTTTGCTCAGTCAGTAGAAAATTACTTCTTCGTTCAATTTTACACTCGTAGAAAGGGTGTGATTTGGCTTTTTAAAACTTTTCCAATTCCCGAATAATTTTTAACCCGACCTGCTGTCACACTTGCACTCAGGGTTCCCAAATACAAGTCGTATAATTTCAGCGTACGGAAAACCATACATTTCTCTACAATACTAAAGATAGACCATATAGGGTTCATAAAATTAAGCAGTGGATTTGAGCCACATTGTTAATTTTACAAGCCACATTGGTACATGTAGATGCATGCGTTTTGTGAAAGGCCATTTCACGGTATTAAAAGATCTCAAAATTAGAAACTTTTCTAAAACCGACTTATACCCTTACGTTGAGTATAAAATTGAAAGGAGACGGTGTTTTCTACTGAATGAACAAACGAATAAATATTTTATGCATGTTTTCCATGAAATATAATTGAATCTTTTAGGTCATCGAAAATGAATGCAAAAAATGCATGTTACTTAGCTAGTCATTTTTTAAGAAAATTAGTTTTAGGTGCAGCCGAAAATAAGTTTGTTCAATAGCCGGCACTCTGTGGTAACTGAATTACTGTGAAATTATGCTGCATAATGCTTGGTTTTACAACCCTATTTAGCTAATATCATCGAAACACAAACGCATTTCCGACTTTCTGTTGACATTTCATGAATTAACCCACCTACTGTACCTATGACTTGGTTATATATTTGCGTCCAGAAACCGAATGTGCTTTGTAAACCAGTTCATCGGAGCGCTGTCCATTGACGTGGTTGGCGATTCCGACCAATCAATATTCTTTCGCAAACGTCCACTCTTCATTATTCGCTTGCAGATATCGTGGTCTATTTCGCCGTCCCCAGGACGCCTCCTTGATTTGTAGGAGTAAATACAGCTATCCTGCAGCCAAGTGCAGAATTGCCGGCCGTGACTGCCTGAATGAACGTGTATGCGCGTGTTGTAGCCGGTCGAACTGCAAGGCCGTTGCGTCTGGAAACTCTCGCAGATGACCCATTGCGACCTTGACGCAATGGGTCATTCGATAAAAACCCCCTGCACCACACACTTGGCTGCCGGCCACAGGTTTTAAAATGGGAGTGAACAGAGCGTTTACACGTGCATAAAGTGGGCACCTGATCAGCTGGTATTCACCTTAATGACATTTAACATCGGAAAATAACCCGTCAGTAAACTCAACAGTCTGACCGAAATGGGCCACCTGCCTAACTCAGTAAGAGCACACCAACTGATAACAAGTTCCCCAGACAAGGTAAGCACACCTACTGATAACAAGTACGTACGTCGACAGGATCACCTTAATATGTCTGGCTACAAACCGCGATCTTACGTAATAGTCTTTCTACCATTAAGCACCCTCTTGATAGCGTTTTTCGTTTGAACCCAAAGCGATCTTTTGCGTACTCTATCGAACACGAAAAACCCGGGCATTGCGCCACTTGGAAGCGACTCATATACGGAGAAATTAACCCGACTTATGCAGACAGTTAAACCACGTGATAAACCTTAGCGTAACCTCGTAATCCCCAGTCTTTTGACATACACACCCTTTTGCATGTTATCTATCACCTTTCTCTTCCCCTACTGTGTTCTAAGTTGCTCTTTTCATCGATTAGACTATGCGCAATGCAAATGGCCTTGAGAGTTATGCACCGACTTTTGTGCAAATTCAACTTCTTTTATCTTCCACATTTGCTATTTGCACTGAAATGTGAGGGGTTAATTTTGATATGCCATTGTGAAATTTATTGATGCCAGTAACTTTTGCTGTTTTTAGTTCTTCCAAATTCAAAGAGAGACAAAATACCTTAAATTTCCCAAAGCTACAGATTTTGCCTCCTGTGGGGAATTAAAAATATTCAGTGGGGTCATGGAAAGCATTTTTCAACTCTTCTATCATCTTTTTAGTTTCGCAACTCTTCCGGGTGTAGAATTCTACCCCGAGACGATGACTACCCAATGTATTTCTCGTGGTAAGCGACGCATTGTCGTCTGACATAATTCGTCCACTAAGATGTCGCATCGGATTGACTAGCAACTGATTCTAAAGGCACAAGCGTGATGTCAGGATTAGTATTTACCAAGTTTGACGTTCCTGGTTATGAAAGTCCCGTGTGGGCTTCTGTCAGTGTCTTTGGGGACTATAGTGAAATCAACTGCTCGGTACCTCCACGTCATAATACACTTCTGAACTAAAAGTGGTAGGGATCAACGACATCTGGTCTCCAAAACGATCAAATTTTGCCCTCCGCACGAAACCCTGGAGGAGTAGATTTAGTGTTACCGTTTAGCTTTGTCCCTTGTGCATTGTCTACATCACGTGACCCTAAGGACGCTTGGAAGACATAAGATATTTTTGAATAGAAACACGCGCCCCAATCTAGGCCACTGATTAACCAGACCAGAGGAATATTCCGCGTAAAGCTCATGCAACAGTCGTTAGGTGGTAGCCGTGTAGGCAAGACACCATCACGGTTTGTCCTTTCACTTAACATTCCCTCCAAATCACTCATGTGCCACAGTAAATCCAGTAGGTCTGCTATCTCATGAAATGTTGGCCAAAATTCTGAACTGTGCTTTATATTTCAAAGATTATCTAAGTAGGATTGTACTATTGATTATCATGCAGCAACATCTCAAGATATTTCGGTCATCCCAGGATGTCGGCTTTTGAATCAGCTTCTTTTAGGCCACTTACAAAAACTACACTTAGTAAAAATGACTATTTAAATAGCATGCATTTTGCCCACTGATTGTCGATGCCCTTATAAATTAAAGTCAACTTTACTAAACCCTGCAGAAAAACATTCTTTCGTGTGCCCATTTGGTAACGACTTACGCCTCTTTTAAACTGTATTTTCAATGAAGGCGCATCTCTCGGCTTTAAAAAGCGTTTAATCATACTGTTTTTTAAGCCATGAAATCTCCATCTATACACCGTCGCATAAATACGTTCAGCAATATTACTTACAAAGTGCACAACCTGGTCCACATCCATTTCCCAATTCTATAAATGCTACAGGACCTATTCCGAGGTGCGTAGATGAACTAGTGGCATTTCTTTGACCGGGTGTATACAGCATGCAGTTTGCAGATCCTAAATACAAGTGTAACAACAGGCAAGGAATAATAAGTTTTCATAAGACCGAAACGTTTTTGTCAAGTATAAAATTTGAAGGAGACACAGTGTACTTCCAAATGAGTAGATAAAAAAGTACTTTTCTTTACGCCTTCTTTAAAACATAGTTGAATTTACACACGTTACTTAAGTAGTAATTTTTTCCCTAAAGTGACGTTTTGCAGGCGGCCGAAAAGAATCTCATTCAAAATCCGGCATTCTGAGAAGACCGAGATGTCTTGGGATAATGCTGCATGATAATCAGTAGTACAACCCTACCTAAGTAATCCTTCAAATCGAGAGCAAATTTCAGACTTTAGGTCAACATTTCATGAGTAAACAATTCTACGGTGTGTCTGGTGGCGATTTGTTAGTCTGTACTGACTTGCTCAAAAGAATGTAATTCGTGCGGCAAAACATTTAACTAGCGTTCAGTTCTGCGTGCAGTCCCACAGGGAACTGCGCAGATCTGTCAACCAGCCATACACTAGCTGAAGTCTTAGAAGACTTCGCACAATAAACCTTAGCGATTGCAATCGGCGGTACTCCTGTTACGTCAATGGGGTTACTATGACAACTGTCCCCCTGGTCACGGGTAACTAGTCACTTTCATGCTTGGCGGCATGTTTCCGTCTGTAATAACTTAAGCTTCGGCAATGCAGTCAGTGACCGATCTTCTGACCTATAAATCGAAATTCTGAAATGTGTTCTCGAATAGGAGGGATGGCTTAAGTGGGGCTATAATATTGATTGTCTCATGGCATAACACGGTGACACTTCAGACATGTTTGGCTTTGAATGCAACTCGTTTCGGCCGTACATAAGAATCAGTAAAAAGTAGCTACTTGAGTAACACACCTTTTTGTATAGATTATTTAAGCTCTTCTATGTTCGAAAATGGTTTTCAGGGAACATTCACAAAAATATCATTTTTCCTTTTCTTTGTTGATAGCAAACGATGTCCTCTTCAATTCGTATACCTGAGGGTAGGGTGTGTTTTGGTTTCAAAACGTCTCCAATCGTGGAATTTTGAAGACCGTGTCCATCCGAATAGCATCGTATCTTACATAGCTTGTTGACTGAAAATACTAAACGAAAATGCAATGACTGACCGAGTCCAAAATTACTCGGGGATTAAAAACCTTCTTTAAACCAGAAGATGCCCTTTCTTCGACCATAAATTTTGATAACTCTTTGCTTTACTTTTCAGTGAGTTCAATAATTAATATTTTACGGGATTTTTATAAAACCTATTTGAATTTATAAGAGCATCTAAAAGTAATATTGAGAATGCCTAACACTTAATTAGGCATTGTTAGTCAGAAAGTTTTTGGCAGGCGACCAATAAGAAGGGCATTTAGAAGACAACACCCAGGTGTGTCTGAAATATCACGAGATTACGTCACAAAGTAATCAATATTACAGGCCCACTTAAGTAATCCCTCCTGATGAAAAACGCATTTCAGAATTTTGTGTAGCATTTCATGAAATTGGCCAATGACCGTAGTCTTGACCGGAGGCGTTGATTTGCTTCGCTTTTGGACAATCACTAATTTGGACAAAACTGAGAGCTCTATGCTGAGTAATTATGATGTCAGGAGAGATCGCCAGCCCTTGTTTTACTTCTGATGCCCAATGTGGAGATCCGGCGGACGAACACCCTTGCCTCTGCAAACGGATAGGCAGAACTGGTTGAACATTTCCAGGTTGCGGACAACACCGTGTGAACCTACATCCCAGAGGTTAGAGCATCTAACCAAAATACTCGATGAGCAGCCAGTTCGGACCAAAATCGATGGCTATTTCTGTCTGAGATCGATTTATGGTCTACTATATACGGCAGTTGGACCACTTAAAATGGTCATATTAGTCATCTCAAACTATCCTTGTTTAATTTTCGAGGAAATTAATGCGCGAACTTGGAGTAACTCTTTCGAAACGGGCCTTTTCAGGCACGGTCCGAAATTTGATATGAATATTTGAGCTGAAATCCATCAGCTACTGCGGAATAACCGCTTAATATTCACAAACCGCCAACAGGCAGCCAGTAGTATAGCATTGTGCAATAATTTAGCGTACTAACAACAATACCTATGTTGTTAGTACGGTAAATTATTGCACAATCTCAAACTTTGTCAGCAATCCTTGTTCGTTATCAGCCGCCTACGAGGAGTTTAAGCGAAAGCGGACGAGCATTCTCCTAGCCATAATCGAATTGATGATTTGGTCATCAAAATTCGCAACGGGTCTTAGATTTGCATGAGACAACTTCAAATTTCTTGACTTTTGAGAATCACCGGCGAAAAAAATTGTTCATTTATTCTGCTGAGCTTTTGAACTCGGGTAGGAGTCCGTCGTCAGAGGCGACAGAACGCATCGAATTCTACAGGCCGTATTAACCGATCATCGATCAGTGAGGCAGGTGCAGAAGCGAATACACAGGGCTCTGTAGGTTGGCGCCAGATCGATACATCGATTGGCTGGCAGTTTCCGTATGCACTCGAAAAAAACTTCCGATGGAAAATGTTCTGATGTTGCACGGCGTTGCACCGAAAGGTGGCAGCATGTAGCGCGCAACCTATGTGTACGTGTTTTGTCTACTTATTTCCGGCGTGGTAAAACAAATGCTGTTGAAAAAGCTAATTACTACGCTTGACGACAGGAAACATTACAATTATGCCAACAGAAGCGAAGACACGAGTCCCAGAAAGCAGTCTTGAAGAAAATGACACGATCTCCG